TGAGAAAGTCAAAAAGTGTTACCCGCTCTCCCCCTACAGTTTTATTATTTTTTTTTTCTTTAACATGTAGGCCTACAAGTAAAAATAAATATAGTTTATACACAACATTAAAAAAATTACACCATATACATATTAGTCTATTTTAAAATAAGCCTACAAGTCTAAATGTATATGTGAAATGCTATGATCTTTCTTTATTTCATTGCCTGATCTGGGGTGTGGGGACTCTCGTGTTAATTTCTACATTTTCAGGCTCATTTTCCGCTAGAAAACTTACAGCTGCAGTCATGCACACCATGGAATGTTAAATCACTAACAAACACTACATTTTAGCTAACATGATTTCCATGCTAGTCGTACCTGCATTGTTCAAGTTGGTTGAGTAGCCTTTCGCTGCGTTTACACTTGGCATTAACATGCGACCTGTATCCGGATTTTGTCCACATACACATTGAAAAGACAAATGTAAACGCACTTCTGATCGGAATGTTATCCGATCAGCGTGTCCTGGTCCAGAGGTAGTCGAGGACGCACAGTTCCGAATGATGTATTACTCTTACCTTTATGAGCAAAAATGACAGCGTATCCACTGAAAAAAATGCTAGTGATTGCGCTGGCGCCTCCATGTCCTGCAAAACGCGCTTTAGCTTGCACTCTCGTTGTAACGAACAAAAAAATGCTCCAAACGTTTTTCTAAATTAACTTAATAAAAAAAACTAAATGAAATATAATCACTTTTCCAATACAAAACTGACCTATTTAAATAGCTGAAACAGTAAAGCTGTTTTGGGAGAAGGGGGAAAAAACAGGCTCTGCGGTAATTCTGATAAACTGTCGGACAAGGAATTTTGTCCACATACACATTGAAAAGACAAATGTAAACGCACTTCTGATCGGAATGTTATCCGATCAGCGTGTCCTGGTCCAGAGGTAGTCGAGGATGCACAGTTCCGAATGATGTATTACTCTTACCTTTATGAGCAAAAATGACAGCGTATCCACTGAAAAAAATGCTAGTGATTGCGCTGGCGCCTCCATGTCCTGCAAAACGCGCTTTAGCTTGCACTCTCGTTGTAGCTGTTTTGGGAGAAGGGGGAAAAAAACAGGCTCTGCGGTAATTCTGATAAACTGTCGGACAAGGACCGGGCTAGGGCCTATATTTGAGGCCCGTGCAGGGCTCTACCAGGAACTATGATGAAGCAGAACTAAATATATAGCTTTATGTCAAAATACTAATTTATTTAATTTTAAACAAACGTAATCCTGATAGTATTCCCAGTTTTTTCCAAATGTAACTGTAATCTGAATACTTAGTTTTTTTGATGTAACTGTGTAACGGGGCTGACAAGACGTGAGACATGTGGATCCATCTGCAGGCTTTATTTAAGAGACGTGGTAAACAGGGATATGTAGTCCGGGGTGCTATGCAACAGTTTGTGTTGTGCGAGAGTCAATGAAATGGAAAGGGTGACCTCTGGTGGTGAATAAACGGAAGTCCATGGACTGAATTCGTGACAAACTGTAACAGATTACAGTTACTAGATTTTTGTATCCTGATTACGTAACGCCCTTACATGTATTCTGTTACTCCCCAAAATCAGGTGAGTTTACTGGTGGCCAGTTAAAACCTATTCGCCTCCCACCATTCACAAGACCACCTCTGGTTAACATGATGGCGACAAACACTGTAGCTGTGAAACTAAAAAAATGGAGACTGGAGCCTGGAGAAGTTAACAAAAAAGGCGGAACGTTTGAGGCATCATCTACCCAGATGTCAGGAGGTGAAAAGGCTGGTGTGGCCTGTGGTGTAATGGCTTTTATTGCTGTTCTTGTGGCAGGAATTGTCATCTTAATGAAATGGAGAAGGACATTTTCTCACTTCAGGTCAAGCAGGGGGTATGAAGAGATTCACTGTGATGGCCAAAGTGGTTTAGAAAGTCAGAGAGAGCAACAGAATACAAATGAAAACCCCACCAACCTCTGTTGCCTTAGTTATGTCAGAGTACATTAAGATTAGTAAACTACAGTATTTTAAAAGTTAAATCTTGATCAACTTTGTAAAGCTTTGTAATCAAATTTTTAGTATTTGGTGATAGGGAATATATTTATGCGGTTCTGGGTATAAGGGATGCTATTTTCAACTGCTTCACAGCTGGCAAGATGTCTTAAAATGTTTTATTTTTTTTTACATTTAAACTTAGACCACATTATTATATTTCCTTTTGACTTAATGAATACACATAAATGACAGCTTAATGATTTTTTAAAAATCTTTTTTGTGCATTTATTTAAAGACCACATGTACCATTTATTTTTGTCACTGGTGTTACCTTACTTCTTTGGCAATTTTAAAGGTTTTTATGAAATATGATTTCTCAATTTTTTTAGTACATGTAGAGATAGAGAAAAATAATGATAATGCAACAAATAAGGAGATTATGTTTTATTTATTTTAATCAGGTTTGTTAAAAGTGTGATTGAATGATGTTAGTTCATTTGCACAAACATGTATTTGCTATAACAATGAAACTATTTGTAAAAACAGTTATAAACAAGTAATGATGCAATCCTTTAAATCTTAACTCTTGAGTGAAGCAGAATTCAATGGATGTAAAATTATAATCATGTGTCATTGTGACACATTTCATTTAATGTGACAGAAAAAAAGGAACACCAGTGACATACATAAGACCAAAGATCCTTATTCTTCAACTATAATTAAGTAGATAAGACTAAATTGTTACATTTGGCAATTAGTGAAAGCAGTTAGTAAAAGAGCATAAACATAAACTGATCTTAACTAGTGTTACCCATAAGGAAGGTAACACCAGTGACCGTAACACCAGTGGCAATTTTCATGAAAAATGCATTTTACAAAATGTCTGCTGCAAGGTATCAAACCACGTGTTGTCAATCATGGTATACTCACTAAATTGAGTAGTTTAATTCATTTGTATTCTAGTTTTTTACAATTCCCTAACAATAAAATAGGTCATACCAGTGACTTCCACTAAAAGCTTCATATTAAATCATGAGATAAATAAGAAAATTTCTGATAACTGAAAAGAGACAGTGGACTTCACATGGGCCTTTTTTCATAGATCTTCAGGAAACGGGAGGAAGGAAGTCAAGTGATGTCATCAGTGTGATTTTTATTTCAAAATAAAAGATTTTTGTTAAACGGTAACACCAGTGACTCCACTCCAGGGGACCACTACTTTCATTATATATTTTATAATATTTATTTGGCATTTACTTTTTTTGTATATGTCATTTACAGAAAAACCTGTTTTTGGCCTCAAAATAAAGCACTTTCCCTCTGTACATGGCTGTGGGGACGAGCAGTTTTGTGGTGCTTGGAATTCTTTATAGTTAATTAAAAACAAATATTGCCACATTGATGGCTCAAGAAGGTGTAATTGTTCAAATAAAACATTGTTTTATTTTAAAATATATATTAAAAAATGGTAACCCTATTGTGTTTTTCAAGTGTAATATTTCTGTAAAGCCTAGGGACATAAAAATTGACATTTCCATAGAATGACCTGTATACATTATTCCAAAAGCATTACTGATCCTGTGTTTTAATGAGAATATAGGTCCATCTGTAATTATATGTATTCAGTGTGTGTGTGTTCAGCATTCTATACATGACTGTTTTTGTGTTGTATTCATTTTTAAAACTGGTTTTGAGAGTGGACATTTATGACTTGACCAGTTACGTCAGTCAGGTCCAGTTACATTGTGTTTTTGTATTTCTATTTTATTGAAAATCCGTGTTGCCCAGTGACAGCCCCAAAACATTACTGCTCTAGAGGAGATCTGGATGGAGGAATGGGCCAAAATACCAGCAACAGTGTGTGACAACCTTGTGAAGACTTACAGAAAACGTTTGACCTCTGTCATTGCCAACAAAGGGTATATAACAAAGTATTGAGATGAAATTTTGTTATTGACCAAATACTTATTTTCCACCATAATTTGCAAATAAATTCTTTAAAAATCCTACAATGTGATTTTCTGGATTTTTTTTCTCATTTTGTCTCTCATAGTTGAGGTGTACCTATGATGAAAATTACAGGCCTCTCTCATCTTTTTAAGTGGGAGAACTTGCACAATTGGTGGCTGACTAAATACTTTTTTTCCCCACTGTATATATATAGTTTTACAATTATAAGGCAGGTTCAAAACAAACTTGTGAAAAGATTATCTGTATTTAGGCCTAGTGTTTGAAGTCTGAATCATGTTGTCTTGATGGCAAATAATGATAACAAATACACACACACACACACACACACACACAAAATAAAGTATTTCCTTCATTCCTCTCATAGTAAAAACATTTGTCTCCGAGACAGCCATGGGTGTATAATGGGAAATTGTTTGTGAATGTGCCTAAGATATAAAACCTAAATAAACTGTCTGTTTTTCAAGACATTACTAACATTTAAAAACTTAAAAGGCTATTTCCATCAAGTTCGAACAAGAAACAGAGACACTAAATCCTGTATACATTTCACAGTACAAAAGAGCATGAACCAGCATTTTTGGTTTGTGTATGTGTGTGAAGTTAAAAAAAAACGTGTTGTTGTCCCACCTCAATGCTGCTTTAAATGTCTCTAAAGACCAGAAATCATTACACATTCCAGTATGGCCGGAGATAAGATTAATGATTTGGGTCTTCATTACTCATCAGTCATCATACCTTTGAACTTCATCTCACGGAAGAAATGCAACATCACTATACTCCAGCAGATGGCAGGGTCTCCTAATATTACAACACGGAGGAAGAACCACTACATTTAGGAAACAGACTGCGTTGAGCATTTACATTTGAATTTGCACCATCGAAATAATATGCTAATAATTCTACTGTACTATATATTTGTGTCATGCTATGACTGAACGTAGCTCACGTCTCATATGAACTTAGGAAATTCATAGTCAATCTCTCCAGTAAAATTAATAAAACCTTTTACCAAGAAGTTTAAGTGAAACCTTTACTCGTTGGAGGACATGCTGGTCTTTTTGCTCTGACACAACAATGTCACTAAATTTCTCAGTAAATTAAACTAATGGATTAATCTACCAACACTAACATGGGGAAGACTTTTGGCACAGGCTGCTCTGTGTAAACATCTCGTTTACTCACTGGCCATAAACATTAAATTGGCAGCACATTCTGAAACAGCAAGCTTATTTATGGTCAATGTTTTTAGATTGTTTGGTGTGCCATGTTTTTGGTTGCCAAATGCAGTAGCTGACCGTTTTAGCCATAACCCAACACATGCACATTTCTTTTGCACCGAATGGTTTTCAGGTTTTCGAAACACATCTAGTGAGAGTGGCTCAACAGAGAAAGCACGCAAATCTCTGGGATCAAAGTGAGACATGTATGCCGCACTGAGACAGAGACAGAGAGAGAGCAAGAATGAGAGAGGAAAAAAGCAAAGGCATGAGAAAAATTACACAATTACTGTATTTTAAATTTTTATTAAATGAATTACGGTGATGGCAAAGCTAATTTTCAACAGCCATTACTTTAATACATCCTTGCTGAATAAAAGTGTTCATTTCTTTTTTAAAAATCTTACTGACCCTAAACCTTTAAAACGTAGTATATATCATCTTAAAATTTGCATAACGTCAATACTAATGTTTTACATTAATGTATATTTAGTAAGATTAAATTATTCTATAATGGGTATAGCTAGCTAATCGACATGAAAACATTGCATTATTTACTAAAATTTTGCGCTAATACAACACTAAATTCACACACTTTGGGGTACACAATGACTCTCTCTCTCTCTCACACACACCCCAAACACACAGAAAGTGGAGTATATTTATACAGTAATCCATCTGTCTTATACCAATGGCCCTTCCCCCAAAACCCAGAGAACCATCAATGGGAATTTTGTCCCTTGAATGCCGGGAACAGGAAGAACTGGCCCTTCCCAAAATTCCTCACAGTAGAGAGAGAGACCCAGAGAATGTAAGACAACAGAGGAGAAGGACCGAAGGGAACTGAGGGTGTTAGGTGAGAGAGAGAAGGGCCAGTGAAGGCAGCCTCTTGCAGGCTTCCCAATAGAGGAAACTGGGTAGAAAGGCAGTCATTGTGTGACCCAGAAGGGACACCATACTTTTTCCCCTCTCTGAACAATCTAGCACTGTGTCTGTCCCACTCAACAGTACAGCCTCAATGTGTACCTGTGTGTAAAAGCTTCTGAAAAAAATTTATCCATCCTTACATCAATTTATCTATTCACTGTTTGATCCATCCATTCATCTATGCATCCATCTAATCTAATCTAATCATCCAGCCAGCCATTGATCTATCTATCCACTGATCTATCCATGCATGCATCCATCCATTGATCTATCTATATATCTATCCATCGATCTATCCATGCATCCATCCATCCATCCATCCATCGGACTATTCATGCATCCATCCATGCATCACACTCACTTTGGGTGTTTGTTGAACATGACTGGCAGGAACTCATCCACAGGGAGCATCTTGCCGAACGGCTGAGCAGCGAGGAGTTTCTTGGCCCCCTGCTGTGAAAGGGCATAACCTAGAGTCCAATATGAGTAATCAGCCTCCACCAGATTATCAACACCCTCTACAGACACCTCTGGCTGAGCTACTTGCATCCGTTTACGGCCCACATATCTATGGAGAGAGAAGTAGAAAGAGAGAAATGTAGAAAGAGAAAGATCAATTATGCTTTTGTGAGTGGTGAAAACGTCTCATCATGTGCTTGTTTTCAGCTGGTGTTGTTCTTACATGAGGTCCCAGTTCAGCTGAGCTTTTCCAACGTCCTCCATGATGGTCTGCAACCTCCTTTTAAATCGAGGCTCAAACCTCACGTCATCCTCCAACACCAGCACATGCTGCAGACCCCTCTCCACCACCTATCACACACACACACACACACACACAGTAAGCAGAAAATTATTTGTCTGGTGAAAAATCTTGTTTCAGAAAATGGAAACATTTACTGGAGTGTTGCTCGTCTGGCTGAGATTAACTGGACAATTATACTACACTATACGCTTGGCTTATATAAAACACCAATTAACAGTGAAAAGCTTAACAGAGGCCAAAAATAAAGACACAGGGAGTCCAGTGTGTCCCGTGTTTGTGTACAGAACTTTCTACCATCCAAGCATTAGAGGCACAATTTCCATGATTTTGCAGTGATAATTATTAGATGTGTGAAACAAATATAATTTCATATAAATATTTTTTTTATGTTTATCTAACATCAAATAAACCAAAAAATCCAAACTTTCCTATTTAATGTTTTATTCATCACATTTACTTATTTATTATATTTATTTTTAAATATATTTAAGATATTTATTTGATGTATCACACAAAAATATCTGAGTTTTAAATTGTATTAATACACATACATTTTTCAAAAACTGAAAACTTTACACAAAATTAAAAGAAAATAAGTCACTAAATCGTCATTCATATAATATTTATCTTTACCTCCCATGGTTGACAAGGACATTTTCTTTCATTAATTATTTATTGAAAAAGAAAAAAAAAACCTTGAGCTGTATTCCGTACCTGTTTCCAGGTGAAGTGGTGGCTGAGGAAACAGCCAATCTCTCCACGCGTCAGCACCCTACCAGAATATGGATCTTTATATACAGGCATCATTTCTATACCTAGAGCTTGAAGGTGAGATGTATTCAGAGCCCTGACAAGGAATAAAAAAAGGTCAGATCATCAGAATTACTTTCACTTGAATGGTTCTGCCACATTTCAAAATACCCCAACATTACAAATGTGACTGCACAGAACGTCCCCTTGATGACCTACTTCCCATCCACAGCATCAGCCAGTGTAGCCTCAAGACCCAGCGCCGCCATTGTGTTCAACATCCGTTCCCTCCGGTCCAACCTCCGCTTCAGATTAATCAGAAAGATCTGAGCAGAAAAGAGAATGAGAGAGTCTGAAGAATGAAGCAGGGCTAAATAAGAAAATGTCACTTCAAAGAAGCATAAATCAGCTGAAGTTTTTTCTGCTGAATAACTATCATGAATGTCCAGTCAAGCAAGACATTCCAGAAATTCTGCTCTCTCACCTCGTCAAAGCCCATCTTGTCCTGGGGTTTGGGTGGAGTGAAGAGAAACTCAGAGGGTTTTATGTTATGATCAACTGTAAGAAAAGGCATTTTAGTCGCACTAAATGCACATCTGACAATCACACATTGGAACATAACAAAATGTAAATAAAACCTCTAATTAATGGAGGTTGAAAGTATCAAGTGTAAAAGTGCTGGAAAAAGGAGGTTTATTAGGGGCAGTGGCCATGGGTGTGCATCTTATGGGTGTGTGTGTTTGCCGAACATTGTGGGGACCAGGCAACTGTCCCCAAGAAGAAAATGGCTTGATAAAAACTCTACTGTTCCAAGGTTTGGGGTCAGTAAGATTTTCTATTCAAACTTTCTATTCAAAGAATCCTGAAAAAAAACAAGATTTCCACAAAAAAATAAATTAATTAATTAAATAAATAAATAAAAATAGTTAGCACAATTGTTTTCAACACTGATAATAAAAATAAATGTTTTTTGAGCGCCAAAACAATCAATATTAGAATGATTTTGAAGGATAATGTGACACTGAAGACGGGAGTAATGGCTGATGAAAAATTTTAAATTTTTTAAATATATTAAAATAGAACATTTATTTTAAATTGTAATAATGTTTCACATAATTACTGTTTTTACTATGTTTCCGAGCTTTGCAAAGCATAAAATCCTACTTTCAAAAGCCTTTAAAAATTGAACCAACCGAAGAAAATGGCTTGATAAAAACTCTACTGTTCCAAGGTTTGGGGTCAGTAAGATTTTCTATTCAAACTTTCTATTCAAAGAATCCTGAAAAAAAACAAGATTTCCACAAAAAAAAAATAAAAAAAAAAAATAAATAAATAAAAATAGTTAGCACAATTGTTTTCAACACTGATAATAAAAATAAATGTTTTTTGAGCGCCAAAACAATCAATATTAGAATGATTTTGAAGGATAATGTGACACTGAAGACGGGAGTAATGGCTGATGAAAAATTAATTTTTTTTAAAATATATTAAAATAGAACATTTATTTTAAATTGTAATAATGTTTCACATAATTACTGTTTTTACTATGTTTCCGAGCTTTGCAAAGCATAAAATCCTACTTTCAAAAGCCTTTAAAAATTGAACCAACCCCAAGCTGTAGTGAATGAATGAACATCTATGCTTTAATGTGTGTGTGAGTGATAATACCCACTCATAGCCTCAGTGATGGTGTGTGTGAAACTCTCCTCCTCTTCTTCTACACTCTGCTGGGCCTTCAGAGGTACAGGCAGAAAGCCGTAATGTTCTCTGTTACACACATACATCTGAACACCTACAGAAAAAAACAACAGCATTCGTTGTTTTCATTCATGAAATGCATCTGAATGCAAACACTGTATATCTCACATTATTCTATGCACCCTATGTAGTCAGCCAACCCAAAACAACAAGAAACATGAGTGTTACATCATTGTGTTTGTGTGGTTTTGTGTTGTCGGTTTGTATTCATGGGTGTGTTCAGAGTCATGGTTTGTCGGCTTTGTGTTAGCTGTGTGTGTATGTGATTTACAGTAATTCCACTGCATGCTCTCTTTCTCTCTCACACACACATTATTTCCTTAATGGAACATCCACAAACACCCAAAGAGGCCATATAAATGCCCAGCTGGGGCTGGTTAAATTAGCATCTGTGTCTTCTGAAAACATTCTGTGCTTAAACGCACTCATTTCGAAAACAACTCACGCACTTAAAAAAATAAAATGGCAACACTTGCAATAATATTCAATGGTTTAGCATCAGTTAAAGCAGCACTATGTAACTTTTTCCGTGTTCAAAATTTGCTAAATGTATATAATGAGCGAGTACATCATGAATTCATCTTCCAAACCGCGTTTTTGTCTTATTCCGAATCACTACGGTACACTTATAATAAGTACTTATATTTGGACTATTGTAGCCTGGTCGGGTCGTCACCGCTGCGGAGTAACACATACCTGCGTGAATCGCCATAGACATAAACTTAGAGAAGTAGCTCCGGTTGGAATGTTCTTCCGCGGGATGTGTGCAGTTCTGTTTATTAACCGCTAGAGCGCCAAAAGTTACATAGTGCTGCTGTAATGCGTTAGGTATCATAACCTAACAATGAAAAATACTATAATACCAGCATTAATTAATCTAGCTTAATCTTAATTTCTACATATAAAACACATTTTAAACATTAATTTACACAAAAACAAAAATGATTTTACATGAAAAAAAAATTTATTTAGCAAAATAATACATAAATAGAATAAATTACATTTATGAGTAAATTTGTGATAAATTAGTGATTTTAAGAGTGCCTGCTATATGAATAAATGCAATGTAAAATATACTGTTGTTTGTTTATAATGCATTAATATTATAATATTAGATTAGATTTTTGCATTAATGCATTAACTTGAATTATATTGAATTAAACCTTACTTTAAACTGTTATTTATAAAACACTATAGTCTAGAAAAAACATATAACCAGATAAATACACATCATTCTTAATGGACTGTTGTTAAAGCAATCCAGTGGAGATCTCTCACCAGCTTGTCGCGCGGAGAATGCAAAGACCATGATGTCATCAAACGCCCAGCTGTAGTCAGGGTGAGGTGGGTGGAAAGCCATGTCGAGAGTGGCACTACGTCTCAGATCCAACAGGAATGTGGAGTGCACCATGGGAACAGAGAAACAGCCCAAACGCTTCCACTCACGGATAGGCTGGTAGTCTGGGGTGCGCTTGTAATAACCCTGAGAAAATGGCAAGAGATGTCGTGCTATTGAAGCAATGCTCATGAACTGTTTTCATTGTGAATGTTGAATGTACATTTTAGTTTGAATGCATTTTGAAGAACAGCAGTAAATCTTGCCTTGAAAGGACAGTTCAAACCAAAAATGAAATGTATTCATCCTCATGTTATTCCAAACTTTTCTTCTGCAAAATCACGAAGGCTGTATTGAACAATGTTGGTAACCAAAACATTTTGGTGACCATTGAGTTCCATTGTATCATGGACCAAAAAAAAGGCATTTTTCAAAATATCTTCTTTTATTTTCCACAGAAGAAAGTCAGTCATACCGGATTGGAAAAACATGAGGGTGGGTAAATGATGACAGAATTTGTATTTGTGGGTGAACTATCCCTTTAATATATTACTCTTTGAGCCTGTTTCTGAGCTGACCCAAGCTGTACCTGAGGTGTGATGCCACACCAGAAGTTTGAGTAGAGGGATCGGGAATCCAACATGGGCGCCACCAGTGTGAAATTCTCTGCCATCATGAGATCCAGCACCCGTGGGTTGGTCAGGAGGTTATCACTGTCAACAAACTGAGAGAAAAAGAGAGAGGTCAAGTTGGAGAGCTCTAGTTTTACATAAAAATACCAGTTTAGCATCAACATGAGTGTCATGATGAATGACATATATACTCACCAGTATATAATCAGCCCAGCGCTCTCGTGCAGCCTTCAGTGCCGCCTGCCTGAGCTTCATTACATGATTGAAACGAGATGGAGCCCAGTGTTTCGGCCCCCACTCATCCATGTATGACCTTACATCAAAAAAATATGCATACACTTTTTCTTAAAATAACATTTAATACCACTCTTTCTACTCCTATAATAAACCTTATCATCTTCAACATATCTACAGCACTACTGTTGTTTTTTGGTCTTTATGTTAATTTTATGTTTTAATTAGATTTTTTAACACAAATTGGACTTTGCTACTTCTCTTATGAGCATGGCAAGGAGAGTTAGGGCAGATGTCGAGATTTTCAGTGCAAAAACTGAATCACTCGCTGAAACATTTTATTTTAAACATCATATGACTTCAGAAGATTCGGAATATAACGTATGAAACATATGGAACACTTTTATGATACGTTTATGTTGATTTAGTATAATTTTTTTAAGCTTGAAAGCATATGTGTCCATTCATTAGGTGCATGAAAATTAGTATAATATTACTTATATAAATATAATGAAGAGTTCTTCAAAACATTTTATTCGTATTCCATGAAAGTCATACAGGTTTGGAACAGGAGGGTGACAAAATAATGACAGAACTGAAATTTTTTTAATCCTTGTTCTGGAAATCATTATATTCAGATGGGAAAGACATTAGTATCTTTTGCAAATTCCTGACATAAACAGCCATTAGTGCTAATTGACTTTGTTCTGAAACAAGATGTTTTCAACCAACCGTGGCTCCTCCATGGGCCTCCACTCCACGTAATGGTATCTGCTCTGCCTGTTCCTCAGCCATTCTCTCAGCATGGCTGTGGTGTTGTCCACATTATGGTCCGTTGCAGCCCTTCAAGAAATGACAAAGGAGAATTTACGTAATTTTAACATAAACAAGACAATCTCCAAATACAGCTGCTCATCAGGAGCAGTGAAAGAGCGATGTGTCCCGCAGGCAAGGGCGGAACAGTGCACAATGCGTTTTGAGTTAGTATTTCTTTCTCCTAGACTTGTGGAAATGCTAGATAAGACTACTAAAATTCACATGAAGATGTCAAAAGTGCTAGCTGACTATGCTAGCAAGCAGCTAACGCTGTATTCCTAGGGCTGATAAATTCCTCAGGCATGGTTATGGGTTTGCAAGGAAGTGAGGCACTTAACAACAGTTTGCCAAAGGTAAAAGACGTATTGTCCAAGTTTCATTTTAGCATTTCAAGAGTGTAGCTTAGCATAGTTAAATACGTTACTAGCATCTCAGAGGTGAAGCGCAGATTCATACAATTCAGATTTCATAAAACAATACTATACTATGACTTACAAAACATTACGCAAAACAACAACTACTCCATGTTTTGAATACGTTCAAAGCGATGAACCGACAAACAGTGTGACATAACAGTGAGTTTTCCCAGCATTACTCTGTGGCTTGTGGAGATCACATGTTAACACTGACACAAGCACACAGACACACTCAGTGTCCTCAGCCATTTGGCTGTGCCAGTGGAAACCTCCACTGCACAGGGACTCTGCAGTAAAACCATGTGGGAAAGAACCAACAAATATTGACATCACCTCAGTCGTCACATTCACACACACATTCACATTTCCTCACCCCACCTTTACCAGAAATAAAATTCAATTGGTGTTTATATTCATATTTATAGAGCATTGCAGGATGTTCTGAAGCAATAGCAGGATGACACTTGAGGCAACAGGGAAAAATAAACTGGACTTAATTTAACCTAATGTGTAGACAAGAGCAAAAACAGATGAATAAGTCATAATATAAAAAAAAATGGACAAAAAGCCATTCATAACCAGCCTTTTTTGTCTTATTTTCAAGACAAATATTAATTCAAAAAAATGTTTTTTCAGGGATTCTTTTGACTTTGAGGGACATGTCCACCCTGTTCCCACTGCCACCTTTCAAATCTACACCTATGTCTGCCTTGAACATCTGCAGTGAATAATACTAGTGTAAACCATCAAATACACATATAACTCCCACAAACAAACATTGTCAGACAACAGATAACAGTGTCTGCAGTGTGTGCATCTAAGTAAACTCATATTATAACACACGCTTCATCTTTCAATGACAAGTGATAGACCAGCTATTCAACACTACGACTGTTATTTTGTCACTCACACAAACACAGACAATTACTCAGGCAAGAGTCTCGCTCTTAACAACATATTCCGACAAAGAGTGCAGAAAATACAGGCCAAGATGAGGTATATGTGTTTTAAGTATGCTTTATGGGTGTCCAAGATTTTATGAGATGTATAAAAGCAAAGGGAACAGACAGCATCATGATTGATAAGCAGTCTGGTTCTTTATCACTGGTTTGAAACACCTGACACACAGGTAATTACAGGTAATGCAGTGTCAAATAGATCACTGCTTTCAGACACACACTTTTCTGGTGACTTCAGCAAGTGTAGGTGTGCTACAGTTGTTTTAAAGGAAAACAGGCCTTCGAGCTGCTTCCAGAACATCTGTGAAAAATCCATTACAATCTGAATAAACAATGAAGCAGAAAAGCAAAAGAGTGCATGCATTTTCTTATATGAGGATAAATACACGTGTGTTAGATTTTTCTTTGCATGCAATTCTCATACTTATGTTCAGTTCTCTGTTCATTCTAGTTCTGCATTTATATGAATTAAATAAATATGTTGTGGTTTTCGTCACACTGCTGCAACCGATATAAACATCTGGAGTATTCAGACTCGCTGCATCTCTTTAAATTACTCTCTAATGGCAAATGATTGCACATGTGTTCCTCTCCGACCCTCCTGGGGAGAGACCCACACCAAGCATTTTGGGTTATGCTGCTCCATGACAAAGAAAACTGCACATATACAAATAGTGAAGTGTGCAAGTGTCCCTGGTGGGAATGAAGATTTATGATTTATGCATGACTTTATGCTACATTACTATATGCTTGCAATATGTCTGACTGTACATGGAGAAGGAGCAAATGGGGAAATCTCATGAAGAACATGTCTGGGTCATTATTCTTCTAAAATCAAGACTAAATTTTGCATAAAGAACATTAAGCTTATTTTAGGACCATTAAAAAAAGTATATTTAATTATCAAAAATACATACATTTTTTGCTTTCATAATAACAATAAAAATATACCCAGGCATGCTTTTTGATTCACCCAAATGTAAACACATTTGTGCAGATGTGAGTGTATTTCTGCCTGTATGAAGTCTGAGGCGGTGTCTTAGCTCTGGCCGCAGGGGGCAACACTCATATTCATGACCGGACAAGCAAACAAACTGAGGAATTCGAACATGCCAGCATATGAATGACACAAACTTCTGGTTTCTGAAGGTTCAGTCAGTCATATATCTGGACAGACACATTCTCCTCACCTCACTCCCTCACCTCTCGATCCCTAACAAATTTCCACACCTAGGGGCAAAAACAGACTGCTGACACTGACCACATTACATACTCTTTCTGAATAAGGTCCATATTCTACAATATTATTTAGGTGCTTTTCCCAATCTGTACACTGATTTATGTTGATTTTTTATTGTTTGGGAAACAAATCCTCAGTCCAAGCAGCAATTAATCTTTTTGATATTTTACTGTTAAACATTCTTCTTGCAATATTCCGTAAATGGACCTTGTGATAAAGGTGATTAAAAGTGTTAGGGATGTATGTGTCAGGATATTTAGCTCTAAGTTTGTATGTGTGTTCTCATGCTGCGCTTGGAGGAAGCAGGACTTTGCTTATAAAAACCCGATTTTTTTTCACCGCCCTTTTGAAGTTTATTGTAAGTCTCCAGCTCATTATCTGACTGCCTGAGGCTCACTCTCTCTTTTTGTCTCTGTTTCTCCTCCATGTCCTTATTGACAGCATCTGGACACCACATGCTACTCACCTCCAAACACGCACATCTTATACTTTCTCCACCTGCACAGAACAGCCATCAGAGATAAAGAGGACTATCCCCTAATACAAGAAGCAGTCAGGTTTGAGTAAAAACAAAGAGATGACATGAAATAACCCTTAATTAGATACACCAGTAAAAAACATACTGGAAAGTCTTCTACTGTTCAAAGCTGCTCTGTCAACACCGAAACAAACTACATTACCTCCTAGGCTGATTACCCATTTCAACTATAACAATGGGTCTGTTGTATTTGTAGCAAGGCGATGCGTTTTCTAACATATTCTCTGTACGGCTGCTTTGGAACATTATTTATTTATGAAAATATATAAAAAAAATTGAATGGAATTAAAACAAAAGTTTCTAAATATTAATGAAAATGTCCATTAGTTCAAACACAGTCAGTTACATATGTGTGTGTGTGTGTGCTTTGCAGTGGCTCTGCCCCCATACGTGGGCTGACGTGGCTGCCTGGCTCTGTAGATTGAGGAGGGGGCAAAGGGGCAGTTTCTAAATATTAATGAAAATGTCCATTAGTTCAAACACAGTCAGTTACATATGTGTGTGTGTGTGTGTGTGTGCTTTGCAGTGGCTCTGCCCCCATACGTGGGCTGACGTGGCTGCCTGGCTCTGTAGATTGAGGAGGGGGCAAAGGGGTTTGTGAAACCCTTGCTGTATTCAAATTCCTCCAGCCACCCTCTGTCAACACAGCTCACTCATGTCACAAAAAACACATCTAAAGTGTGATGCTAATTCATCCCCCCTCATGACATTTGACGAAACATCTTTTTTACAAGTACATAATCACATTCACATTAAATACAACTGCACACTAGGGCCTCAGAGATCCATCAAGAACACTTTAGCTTAATCTGCTTTTCAAAGAGTCATTGTTCTCCTACCGGTTTTGGAGTTACAGATCTGATAAAAGCAACAAAAGTGGTCAAAATAGTTGTAAACACACATCTGTAAAAGCACAAATGCTTTTCTCAGAGTGCATATAGGATCGTAGACTAGTTGGTCTGGAAATCAGAAGCGATTCCCACAGTCTCACCTGACACACTGACTGAGAGTTTATCAAACAATCACATGACTCTCTCTTCATCTTCCTGAGAATATAAACACATCTGTGAAACACTGTGAAAAATTTATGTGATGTGTGCTTATGCACAGAACAAGAGCAAGACAAACGGACAGTGAAAAAATGAGAAAAAGGTGTGAGAAAAAAAGATTGAAACAGTGAGAGGTAGACAGATAGATTGATTGATTGCTTGCTTGCAGTGCAGACAATGTTAGTCTTCACGATGGTTTACCAGAAGGATGAAACCAGCAGAGAGCAATAAAAATGCATTTCCCTGCCAATAACATAAACTTCCATCACCTTGAAATACCTCACTATATGTCCCTGCAGATGTATGCCTATCTTTTGTCAAGTGTGCCATTTGGGACAACCTAAAACAGCTGTCTGTGACCATGACAAAAATCGCAAAAAGGTATATATAATACCTGGAGAAAGTTATGCAATAGCATTCCAAATATAGCAGCTGCATTGGACCTCAAAACATTTTTAATCAATAGAACCATAAAATGTCATGTGACTAAACACTCCAAATCGCAAACAAATGATGCAATATCCACGACACTATACTGAAATATTAACCTGTGTGTATGTATATATGTTTAGTTTTTTTTGCAAAAAAAAAATAATAATGGTAAAAAAATCTGGTGTCAGTATGTTTCTTTAAAGAAAGTAACAGTAAAAACAAAACAAAAATCTACTTCAAATAGAAGCTGTTCTTTTGAACTTTCTATTCATCAATTAGCAGCACAACTGTTTTCAACATTGATAATAAGGAATGTTACTTAAGCACCAAATTAGCATATTAGAATGATTTCTGAGGAATCATGTGACACTGAAGACTGGTGTAACGGTTGCTGAAAATTGTGTCACGGGAATAAGTTACAATATAAAATTAATTATATTAAAATATATTAAACGGTTATTATAAATTGTAATAATATTTCACAATATTAGTTTTTACTATTTTTGATCAGATGAATGCGGTCTTGCTGAGCATTACAGAGATCTTTGAATAAAGCCCCAGGCTTTTCTCATATCAGCAAAGATGTTTTTTAAGCCTACACTCTTAAAAATAAAGGTGCTTCAAAAGGTTCTTCAAGCGATGCCATAGAAGAACCATTTTTGGTTCCAGAAAGAACCATTCAGTCAAAGGTTCTTTAAAGAACCATTTCTTTCTTACCTTTTTATAATCTGAAGAACCTTCTTTCGCCACAAAGAACCTTTTGTGAAACAGAAAGGTTCTTCAGATGTTAACAGTTCTTTATGGAACCATTTAGACCAAAAGGTTCTTCTATGGCATCGTGAAGCACCTTTATTTTTAAGAGTGTAGATTGTGTAGTTACAGCCTTTACTAGCAGGTTCTAATAGGGTCATGCTAACAAGCCAACCTTGACAGTCTGACCTAGATCTAAGTTAAAATACTAAATTGTTCAGTCCTGACAGAGTCTCTTATAGTATTGTTCAGATTATTTGGTCACCTGCCCTGACCCAAAACATTGCACACCAATAAACTACTATTCCAGCTCGACTCTAGACTGCCATGACTAAAGGCAGCAATCGTCCTGCTGTCTGGACTTTTGCACACTATTGTTCCTCTACTCTTGAAGCCCTGCTGGGTTGAGGCCTTTTGGGTTTTGGGTGGATGGGATGGACAACTGAATTAAGGTAACTGTTGTTGGAAAGAGCAGAAACTGGTTCTGGACACGTTGAAGAAAAAAAAACAATACTGCAGAACTGCAGAAATGTACAAGTTAGACCCCATCAAACACTGAGCCAGGGTTTTAGTTACAGCAAAGCTCATGCAAACCTAATAAAAAACACAAACACACTCACAGCTCTAATGACATACACATAATCATTCACAGATCAATACCCAACATATCTCTATTCTTTTCTCAGGCCCTTTGTTATTTAACTTGCCAAAATGCCCAGCATACCTCAACAACAGCATCATAGCAGCTTGAATGAGTCTGAAGGGAAACTGTTCGCACGGTTTTCAAGATGATCACATCATACATATAAGGCAGTAAAGGGACACAAAAGAGCAGTCGGCTCTTATAAACAAGTCTGTGTTCAGTAACTCTGACTGTAACTTGATCAGTCATGTCTAACTTATGTCAAAAGCTGTGTTGGCACCATTAGCTCGAACACCGTTTCACTAATTACAGGACTGTGCCTTTAGGGAACATGATGCTGGATTCACACTCTTCCCTCTTTATTACTTAAGCATGTCTGAGCCATTAATCAAGATACTGTCAGAGGAGATTGTCCTCTCTGTCTCCTTTGTTAGCGCTAACAATTCTCTTCAGCATTACAGTAGCTTAGCTCCTGCTAAATCCAAACAATCACAGAAACTCTAACTGTAATCAAAGTTCCTTTAAAGTTGTGATGATGAAATGGAAGTAGCGACAGATCTTTTCGTCCTTATTGTGATATGCATCCAAGTGAAACAGATTATTGAAAAGACTTGGTTCTATCCATCAGTTGTTGGTTGGATGGAGGCAGATCTGAATGCGATCTTGAATTTTCATTTCATGTCAACCATCTTGGTTACCATTTTTAGTAGTTACCTAAAAGTACAGCTATTATTTACTTGACTAACAAATCTCCAAAAGTGTTACAACAATAAATGTATCATTAATGTTGCTTATTCAGTTCAAATTATGCTATTTAACAGTATTTTTCAGGCTAGTCGAGTTAACACACACACACAAATGAGTGTAAACGCATCTCATACTGACTTAGATCCAATCTGAGATACTTCCATAACAAATAAGAGAAGACAAAGTGGGGCAGAGAGATGTCTTTGTGGGTGACCTTTGCATGTGGTCAATAGGGATGGAATGCGGATCGTTAGGCCACTTGTGGTGCCCCTGTGTAATTTTCAACAGTTCCTCTCCCCTGCCCTTTCTTCCCCCTAATTCCCCACATTCTTTTGCAAAGCAGTGAGACTTTTAGCCTGTCATTTGACTGCTGCATTTGTTAGATCTCCATAATAGTGCACATACACAAGCAGCTAAAGCTGCCATGACATAAAAATTCACCCTATCTATTTTTTCTAAATGGATGTTATAGATCTTACTATGAACAAGTAATTTTTTGTTGTTGCTGACTTGTAATGTTTAATCAAAATGTCATAACTGGTGAAAACCACATACTTCTCTCTTGTGATGTGTGCAGGACTTCTGCCTCTGCAAGAATGCGTTCATCTGCATCCACTTTTGATTGCAACACCTACACCTCAAAATCCATTCAACAAACGATGGACAGAACACTTGCATGTGAATCACAATAAGGACAAAAAATATCTGCTGTTACGTCCGTGCGACTTTACATTCAATACTAAGTATTAAAGACTGGCTATATGACTGGCAAGTTAGTAGAACTTAGCCTTTATTATAGTGCAAATGATATGCAAGAGGATTTCAAATCTATTTCACTTCATAAATGTGTGTCTCATTCTGAACACTCTCCAGCTAAAACCTGCCAGAAGAAATAAATGTAAAAGTGGTCAAACATAAGGCATAACAGTGGAGTGGAGTGTACCGTCAGCCCAAACACATGGAATGTTTTTCACTCAAAGCAGTTCCGCTCAGATGGTGGAGCGGCATTAGAGAAGAGAAGAAGCTGAAATTAAAGTGGGTGTCTGTGTGTGCCTCCAACCACTGATTTGGAAAGAAATGTAAATCAACTGTTTACTCTAGGGAAAGCTGAAGGGAAGTGAGGGCAGTTCATGGATGATGCTCATTATCTGTGGTAGGCCTATGAACACGCTTGAGAAAGGTACCATAGCAACGGTACGCAGCTCGAGTGATTTTGACAAAACATGAGTACTGCAATTACCCATCACTTTTATTTCATTAATTATTACACACTGACAGATTACAAGTAGCCTATGTCACAAAACAGTTAAGACGGATGGTAGGGGTGGCTGCGCGAACGTCAACTGACTGCCAGTAGAAAATTATGCTGACAGAAATTCTCCTAAAACTCTAATTATAAAGAGAACCGACAGGACATGTTACTTAGCCAGCAAACGCCTTTCATCTTCATTTAACATGTGATTAAATCCGTGCACACACGCGCGGACACAGTGCAGTAAACCCGCTTTAACAGGTCTGCTTCACGCAGACAGCGGCGTCTCTGTTCCTCTATCTGCCAGACGGTTTTCATTAACCAAACTTTACCTGCGCGCGCTCCACAATAACTCCACTATGTACCCAGACCTTCTCAGTTTTCAGCCACCACACTTGGTGCAAAGCAAACCATCTCATCATACACATTATGCGTTCTCTACGGCAGCATTCCAATAAAGTCCCGTTTGGAGATTCTCACCATATCGCAATCCGGTCCTTCGGGTAGTCCAGGCGGTCGATGCAGCCCATGTAGTACGGCAGGCTGTGCGCCGAGTTCCGAGCCAGAATCGCGATCATGACTTTGGGCTTAAGCAGCGAGGATTCAGGCACGGGATTCAGGTCCTGCACGTGAGCCACAAGCTCCCCACGGCAGATTTGCGCCATCAGAGCGCAAATCACAGCCACCATCACGAATCCCTCAGCCGGCATCTCTGCCTGATGGACACCGCTGTCACAGCCTGAACGGGGTGTGTGAGTGAACGAGAGGCTGAAAGACAGAGAGGGTGTGTAAGGAGGGGTAGAGAGAGGTGGAGAGGTTACCTCTTGACGAAAGTGGGTTGCCTCCACCTGATTTTCACACCCTTCACCATGACGGATCATTGAGGCACTGAAAGAATGAGATCTCGATTGTGCATAGAACTGATGGAAAACTGCTCAGTTATATTAAATCTGAACATGATAGCATTTTATTACAATATATTTCATAAAGTAGATGCTATTTAAATATCCTACTTCCCGTAACAGCCCCTGAAGCAACAAGCTGGCCATATAGACAATGCTGCCTGCAAATATGCAAAAATAAATAAGTAGGCTACTGGGCAGAACATTTACTAACTAAACATTTGATAACAACATAATATATTATTTATTTATTCTGACTTTTTAAACAGAGCTCTTTATTCCCATTCGTTTCCCTCCATTCTTTCCACGTTGCTCATTTAATTTATCCGTCGGCTGCTCAATCTCATTCCATTCGCGTCTCTTGTATCCCAACCATAGACTGTATAAAAAGATCCCAACACTTCTGAGTTCAGTCATGATCATCATCCAGTTCCCTACAGCTGACACCTGCTGCTCTTTCAAACAACTTTAACTATTTATTTTTGGTGGCGAATACCAAGCTTCAAGTTGTATCGTCTGTAGAAAATATGGCATTTCTTTGCCTTGTAGGCAACATTTGCTCTAATGGCGACCCCTAGTGTTTAAAATTGGAAACGAGGATCAAAGTATCAGTCTAATCTTTTAATGCCAGTTAGCGTTCAAATGATTCTGTTCGGTTAGCCTGCTGGAATTCGTTGGCCTTGCTAAATCAAGTTTAAAATGGTATCTGGATTGTGGAACATGTTAGCATGTACCAGTTTGACAAAGTTAGCTAGCTGTCTTCCAACAGTAGGCTATTCAGCAGCAGTTAGCATAACACCTTACTACATCTCTGTGCACTTTAAAGGGGAAAAAAATGTTCACATATGGTCAAGAGACAAATGTATAGGCTATTAGACAGAGAACACACCTTTAAAACTGCAGGTTCTCCGTCAAAATTACATTTGAAATTATAGGGAGATGTATGTTTTATCATTCAGCTGACAGAAAAACTCTCAGAGGTCAGCCAAAGCAGAAGTTTGGCTCAGTTACTCTGGCTGGTGCAAACCTGGTTTCCGTCTGCTGCGTCTACGACTTTGTCTATGTCTGGTAAAAACACAAATTCTCACATCAAATGAGTTATTCTGACAGTTTCTGCAATATTTTAGTCCACCAAAAAACATGTGAGAAGTTTGGATCAGGCCACTGGTGTCAAGTCCCGAAAGTAATGCATACACCATTCAAGGAAAGTTGTGCTTTCTGTCTGTGCGGAAAGGTGACAGCTATTAGTAAATGGAATTCAGTGATAAAAGCGAGTTTTTAAAGAGGCTAGTCGAAGTTCTGGTGGGTATGTTTTTAAAAAGTCGAGTGAATGGCAGAGTTTATAATAAGAGGACAGTAATGGATTACATTTATAAAGGTTTTCTACAGTGTCAGGCATGTAGGAAGTGTTTAATGGTGGAGAAGATATGGGAAGAGAAAAGTGAGAGATATACATGCAGAATAAGGAGAGTGAAAAGAGAAAAAAGGGGAAGGAGGGCAAGAGTGGATTGGATGGATTGAGTTAAATGTAATTGCGGTGAGCTCATGTTGGCGATGTAGAGTGACAACCAAGCCAGAGCTCTCACAGGCCTGAACTTAGCCCTCTCGCTTTCATACCAGATCTTTCTTTCCTCCACTTCTCCTACACACACCAGATGGAGCTCAGTCACACACATTCACTCTCTCACGTATTAAACCTACCAAAATGATCCCATTTACATCATTCAGATCCACTTCAAACACACCAATTATCAGAGCAGTACAAAAAAGCAGATGAAGCCTTCACTCTATAGATAAAATATCCACAGGTTATGTGTGATAAAAATTAGATGTACAGTTTACGTGTGACTTACTCTTGTCAATAAATAAGGGAAATCTTTTTTTTTCTTTTAAATGTTATCACATAAATTTTGTGCAAATTATATCTTTGAAATAGCCTATGCTTTTCTTTTAATTTCAAGTAGTTAATTTTTATTTTTATTTTCATTTTATGGAAATTGTTCTTATATTGAACTGTGAAATACAAAACATTAAAATGATCAGTTTGGATAGAATATATATATATAAACAACTGTTTTCAACATTGATAATAATAAGAAGAAATGTTTCTTGAGCACTAAATAAGCATAATGATTTCTGAAGGATCAAGTGACCATGAAGACTTACGGCTGCTGAAACTTCAGCTTTGCCATCACAGGAATTACATTTTAAAATATTTTAAATTAGACAGCAGTTTTTTTACCATGTAACTCTGGTTACAATATTACGGTTTTGTTGCATTTTGATTTTTAGAAAATGCAGCCTTGGTGAGCATAGGAGACATTTTTCGAAAACATATTGAATGGTAGAAATAATGTGCCTTTTAAATATATTATAAATAACAAACAAAAAGTGTTACAAAAGGATAATATTTTTAGAGAGATTTACTATTAATTTTTATCTGTATTGTTTGTGGCACTTTTTTCATGTCCATTTTTTTTTCCAGTTGTGCTGCGCGAGAGATTTTAGAATTAATAAACACAGACTCTCATAAGCACCAAGTAAATTAAAGCTGTGGAAGGAGCATATCAGAGTTTAACCAGTGGAAACAGTAATGTGTCCGAATATCTTAAAGTTAATAAAGTAGTAAAGGTAATAAAGTTGTTAAAAGAACTGAAAAGCTTAAACCGTGAACAGTTATAAAATCTAAAACATACACTAATATACATTTTAACCTAATATTCCGATGTTGAAAACGACCCAACATATGATACATTTATAGTGTAGTTCCACTCCTCAACCTGCAGGTGGAGACACACCACAACAATTGAGTGAAATTAAAACGCAATAATGCTTCGAGTTGGTTTGTTAGAAACTCATCTGTGTGGGTTCTCCGAAAAGACATGATCTTGGACAGCTATTTTGACAATATAGTTATAGCTATATAGATAGTTAAACATTTGTACGGTTTAATATTTTAACCCATGAAGAAAATGTAATCTGCACATTTCTGCATCTGAAATTCGACCTCAGAAACCATTAAGTATTTTTAACGTTATGAATCAGTCCACCAACAGGAAATATGACGCTGTAATGGATTAATGATGCCTGCAAAGCAGCACGTACCTATGTAATCTGCACATTTCTGCATCTGAAATTCGACCTCAGAAACCATTAAGTATTTTTAACGTTACGAATCAGTCCACCAACAGGAAATATGACGCTGTAATGGATTAATGATGCCTGCAAAGCAGCACGTACCTATACACACACACACCAACCAATTAATCGGTGAAACAGCACACAAACAGAAACCATAGCTCCAGTGTCTTATATTTTAATAGAAAAAGAAAACATTGAAAAAAAAATTAAAAAGGAATCAAACCAGTAATCATGACAGATGCTTGGCTAGCGCTGTGTCCCCTCAAAGTGACCCCACCCCACCTCATACTGTTTAATGGTCTCTATGAACAGTAAGAGTACAGGCTGACAACCAGATGCATTTTAGCCAACAAGACTGAATACTATTGAGTGAAAAAGACCGGGTGAGAAACCGAGGTAAACACTAGCTAAACACATACAGGCTTAATCGGTGAAACAGCACACAAACAGAAACCATAGCTCCAGTGTCTTATATTTTAATAGAAAAAGAAAACATTGAAAAAAAAATTAAAAAGGAATCAAACCAGTAATCATGACAGATGCTTGGCTAGCGCTGTGTCCCCTCAAAGTGACCCCACCCCACCTCATACTGTTTAATGGTCTCTATGAACAGTAAGAGTACAGGCTGACAACCAGATGCATTTTAGCCAACAAGACTGAATACTATTGAGTGAAAAAGACCGGGTGAGAAACCGAGGTAAACACTAGCTAAACACATACAGGCCTACAACAAACACCTCATCCCTTTGACAACGATTAACACAGTCAGACCCGGTTCTCGGACACAGATTAACACAAATACAGCCCTCGAAACACACAACACACACACACAAAAAAAGACAACCTCATTTCTCTGCCATAGTCTCATCACATTCCATTACCTGTACTAAAGGGCAGCACAAACAGTCAATACGGATCTTTAAGTTAAATGCTGCCATTGTGCAGGTGGCTGTAAGGGATATATTTGGATGTGTGTGGGTAACTAGTCTGACTGTATTTCCATCTATTTTCTGAGAACTTTACAAATAATAGCAGGATATGCAAAATGAAAGTGTGGACTTGTGTTGAAAGAGGGTGTGGTGATTATTTTAGCTTCAAGTCTTTCTCTATGTATGTATGTGTGCGTGTGTGTGACAGAGTGTGTTATGGGGTCACTGTACACGCCTGTCCTTTACAGCACAAGCTTGAAGAGGTCTGATCTATGCAATAAGCAAAAAAAAAAAAAAAAAGGGAAAAAAACATTTATGGAACAAACAAATCAGTCTCGACAAATTTAAAAAAGTCCTTCAAAAGGCAGGAGTCCAGACTTGCCACGGCGCTCTTATCAAAATATCAAATAATCTACCAGTTCGTTCATATAGTTGCTCTTAATAAAATATCTCTCATGTTCAATAATTTTTCCCCCCCAAAAACCCACAACACTCCATCTTTACATTCACTCCCCGTTATCTCCAGAGGATGTTTGTAAGCTCTCTTCTGGTTCCTCCATATGTCAGTTTTTTTTCTTTGGCCTGCCACTTAAAACGAGGACTGGGAGGGGTATGTCGTCTTTCTTCTCTCCATATCCTTTCATCTTGCCTTCCTCAACATAATCTCAGATGGCTCCGTCACAGCCAGGAGGACGAAGGGGGCCGTTTCAATTCTGGCCGTAGGAGGACAGGAGCGGAGGGGGACGGGGGTCCTCATTTCACGTTAGAGTGAGTCTGTGTTGATAATACATCAATCAAGCTGTTCTTTCCTCACCCCAAACCATCTAGATCTCCAAACAAGGCAACCCCAAGAGAGGAGAAAGGGTCAAGGGTGCAACAGCCTATGAGGAAAAGTCCTGCATTCTCTCGCTCTCACAAGCACACGCTCTCACG